GTGGAACTGCTGCCATGTGCCACAGGGTCTCCCGTTTGGCGTGTTTGGGGAGGGTGGCCCGGCCCCTTTGCAGCCCGTCCCGGTGGGTGCCCGCCTCTCTCACGGGCTTGTTACGGGAAAGGGCAGTCCTGTCGCTGAGCATCAGTCCGTGTCACCTCCCTAGGTCAACGCTGCCTCATGGCCGTCCCACGCACAGTGGAGCCAGGCCGCTCAGGGTCTCACACCATCCTCGCGCTGGGACATTGGGACTCTCGGCTGATCGTCATTGGCTGGCTTTCGATGATCCCCAGGCCCCTTTCCCTGTGTTCCTCGGTCTGGAAGCTCCGTCACAGCCACATGCCACAGTCCACTGACGGCCGAGTGGTGGCTGGGGCTGGAGCTGGCCCTTGTGTGGAAGGCAAGCACTCTACCATGGGGGTCCCCACCGCCCCTGCACCCACCACTCTGCCTGATGTTGCAGTTCATCGGAGCCGTCATCCCTTGGCCGTGGAACCGTGCTGGTGGTGTCTCTGACCACACACATTTCCCATGGGTCACAGATGGCAGACTTCTTTCTCAGTGCCTGGCTCTGAGTTTTAAAAACTCCGACACTACGTTGATACAAACACAGCCCTCTATCTTCTAGGCTTGCTGACACCCCCCCCCCCACACACACACACACTAATGTTCAGGTGATGACTCTACCGAAATATATCCTAATTGGGTATGTGGGGATGGGGGTGGGGGTGAGGTGGTTCTGGAAGACCCTGGCCTCAGTTTGTCCCAGGACAGCGATTCCGGTGTCTACCCAACAGCCCCCCTGCCAGCACTCAGTCCAGATGCTGGCACCACAGGTAGGGGCAGTCTCTGCCTGGGGCTGGCTCTGTGAGCTCCTGTGGCCATTGACCCCTCCTCCTCTGGGACTAAGCCCCTGGCATCAAAGGTGCGTGAGCCAAGAAGGTGAGCAACTGGCCGCCCTCCCCCCACCCCATCTTCATAATAAACATTTAAGAAACCTATTTACTGTCTTGAGCATGATGAGTTCCCTGAAAACTCTAAGCTAGGCAAGCATGCATCCTATTGGACACTGCAGCGGCGGGGCTCGGGCACCGGAACAATTGTAGGGATGGCAGGAACCAGGCTGTGCCTCATTCTGTTGTGCAGAGTGTTGCTACGGGTCAGAGCCGCCTAGATGGCACCCAGTAAGAACCCTATCCTA